CCTGGACCTTCCTACGTACCTAAGATCTTTGACCCTCCTGCTTTTGTATCTGTTTTTTCTGGCCTCGACCTAAGATTCAAGATTCGAGCAGAAATCCAAAATTCGAGCACTTTTGTGATCTTAGCTAGTTGGGACTCTCAGTGATGTGTGTGAAGTGTGCGCATGCAGACCGCCAAGCCAATTGAACCTCGGACCGCGGCTGGGAGTCAAAGGAAACATCAGTTGAGCACAGCCGACTGTTGCAACCCAAGTGGAGGCCAATCAGTTTGCCTATGTCTAGCTGTATTCACCAATGAATATATTGTTTCAACTTGGCGGGTCCAGCGGAGTCCAGCCATAGTGGTGCAGCTTTTCTGTCTCCGTCCGTCCATCTTGACTGCTGGCTGTGGTGCCCCTGGCCTGGCTGGAACATGTTGGAACTTGGAACTAGCTTTGCATATGCTGCACAAGCAAGGGCCACTTCTTCTTTGGAGTAGCTCAGTGACCCCTGCTTGACTGAAGCTGAGTGTTTGCACCTGATGCTGTCAAGAAGTGGCACAGCGTTTGTCAGCTCAGTGGTTCAAAGAAAGGCTCAACGTAGTGCTTAGGTTGTTGCACTAGGTTGCCATGGCCCAGACCGAAGTGAACCCTGTGGTCAGGGAGTGGGAGGAAACCAGGTGGTTAAGAGAGAGGGCTGGAGGCGGTGAGTTGGTCTTCTTCCGTGCTCCGGGCTCGGGTGAGCTTAATCGGAAAGACCTTCTTGTGAACAAGGAGATTGTGGGACCAGTTCTGAAGCACTTGGGTAGCTCGGACACAACTAGTAGTTACAACGTGCAGTATTGTGTGAACAATGTAGTTTACTGTACTTATGTTACTCTGCCCCTTTACTCTTGCAACTGCCACCCTAGGAACAAGACCTTCTGTGAGCGCAATTGTCCCAATTGTGGAGGAGTTCTTTTGGCGGCGCCGGGATGTCTTGAAAAAAACCAATGAAGGGTTTCTCGACTGAGTGCAGCACACAGCCAAGTTTGATATGCTCGAATCTCGAATCTTAGGCCAAGGCCATAACAGGAGGGTCAAAGATTTTGGGTATGTAGGAGGGTCCATCTCAAAGCCTATACCCAGCTGAGGTTCTGATATCAAACTTCAGGCATGGGCATTGCGGCGGCTCATTTCCATCTTCGCTCGCTGCGCCCGTCGGCCCCACATTCCCCGTGAACAAGCAATGAAAGATCTTTACATTCTTGCAGACATTGAGCTTCCAGAAGGACAGTTGATGACAGCTATAACCTGTCTAGAACACATGCACTCTTTGCAACCACTATTGGGCACACCAAACGGGGCCATGGTGTCCCACCCCAAACTTTCCAGGAACCGATGATGGTGATGTAGAGGCCACCGCTACTGATGATGCGGGTGATGAGGAAGGTGAAGAGGAAGAGGTCAAGGAGGAAGACCCTGAAGTTGAAATCGTTGCTCAGGAGAGGGTCCTGTTTCTTTCCCTAGCGGCCCTAGCTGTTGACCCTTCAACCGCCTGTTGCAGGACCCTGCCACTGAACTTGGGGCCAAACTCGACGCAGCCAGTGTCAAGAAGCCTGGAGGCTGGCAAACTTCCAGAGCATACAGTTTGCAGGGCCCTTTCTTCGCTAGGACTGGTTCAAAAAGAAGCACCAGCTCTTCCCTCGCCCAGCCCAAGTTCCTCGGATCCATTGTGTCCTACCATTCGCATGGGCTTGACTTTACTGTTTTCTGGGCATACAGCTTCCAACTTTGCCCTTACCGAGGCTCCAGTATGTCTCCATCTCCGTCGGCTGTTTCTTCTACCTTGTCCGAGACTCCAGTGCCTATTGCGAGGCACTATTTGCGTATGGGGGGCGACAGGTTTCGAATGTGTGCAGTGTGGTTTGGTAGCTCCGGACTTTCAAACCCTGCATGAAATCCCGTGCCACGTGTCAGTGACTTTAGAGTTGCACTATGAAACCCAGAAACTGTTCCGCTTACAGCAGCTTCGGTCCATGGAACAAGACTTGAAGAAAAAAAATTGCCCAAGTACAACAAGATTCTGCACCGGCACCGCCCCAGCCTCCAGCCCAGTGTCGGAGCCTCAGGGCATCAAATCAAAGTGCAACTTATTAATTCAACTTGGATTTCACGGTACTAGCTCCACTTTGTTCACTTGCAGGAAAAAGTTTTACTTACTAGCTAGTATATAATTATAATGTTGCCACATCAGGTCTTGACAATGTGGATACCCAGCACTGGGACATCATGGAGGGAGTGGAGGTGAAGTCTGACAAGATCCCCAAGCCGTCCCACACATGGAATGGAGAGAAGTTGCCAGACACTCCCTCACCTGCGTGGTTGCATAGCCCGGCTGATGAGGAGAAGAAGGGAGCGCCCCAGATTCAGGAAGAGGTCCACGCCCTAGGCTTCTTCATCCAGTATTCGGAGAAATGGCTTGATGATCTGCAGCACGTGCTGAAGGAGTCTGGGATGGGAGATGTTTTGGAGCACTTGGTGGTTTTTGGCCGCTTAGGCCAACAATACTCTTTCAACCCCTTTGGATGCTTGAACCACTGGCCTCCTGTGACTGAATTTCCGCTGCGGATCATTTTCCAGCCCAATGCTTCGAAGGCAGCGTCTGCAGAGAGCGCATCAGTGAACACGCGCTCAATTGAGGAGATTCAAAGCGGGATCAAAATGAGGCTCTTGCCATTATTGGATTCTGCCAGCTATCCGAAGCTTCCTGAACCCATGAGCCGAGAAACAAGATTGGCAAAGGCTGGCTTGCCGCCACCTTTCCAAGAGCAAGACCCGAAGGAGCCACCCACACCGCCAGCTGGAGAGCCAGCAGCTTCTCAAACTGCCAATCCGACAGTCCAGGAAAGTCCAAACACGGGCAATCATTCTGCTGAGGCTGCTGAGATTGGTGTTGGCAAGCCTGCTTCGCCTTTCGCAAATGAAGACAGCCAAGTTCCTTTTGAACTAGACGTGCGCCCAGTGATTGATCTGGACGCAGAGGATGGTGAGAAGCCTGAACCTGAGAAGGCTCAGACAACTGATGGTGAGAAGCCTGAGGAACCTGAGAAGGCTCAGACAAATGATGGTGAGAAGCCTAAGGAACCTGAGAAGGCTCAGACA